CCTATGATGTTTGGTAAAGTCAAACTTGAAGCATTCTTCACGCGTGGAACTGGCGTGGAATTACATGTATAATGAGAAAACTGCATAGTACAGAAATCAAAGTGACAGGCACAAGTGCCAACAGTTCATCACAGAAAGCGTATGTAGTGTTCTTACTGTTCCAGCTTTTTGTCTCTTTGCTGTTGGGGTTTCAGATTCAGCAGATGCTTCCGCTCTAGAGAACCAAAGTTTTGTCAATTTTGCGCTCTAATGCCGGTTTTCCACTAGGCGGAATTTTGCGCGCGGAGTGGAATTTTTCTTTGTTTTTTTCTACACAGACTTCACGGACTATTGCCAAAGAAACTGAGTGACATTAGGGAAAGAGAGACTAGGACAAATGGCGAAAAGATTTATAACTTTTTTTGCAACACTGAACGTTTTAGAAACAGCCCTGTAGTTCATGCTATTAATGAATATAATTTTAAATTAGATAAGTAAGATTTATATCCATATATATATATATATATATATATATATATATATATATATATATATATATATATATATATATATATATATATATATATATATATATATATATATATATATATATATATATATAAACGATTTTAATATACATATAAGTCCATTGATGTAAATAGTTTTAAATAAGTAATAATTCTAATTAATTCTAATTAATATCTGACGATGTAAACACGTTGTAATTTAGCTTTTTGCTATTGAACGTGTATTAATAAACCCACTATTATAATTAGTTCCACCCGAGAAAACACAAGACAAAGAAAAATTCCGCTCCGCGCGCAAAATTCCGCCTAGTGGAAAACAGGCTTGAGGCGGGAATGTGACCCAATTTGCACAATAATCAATGCCCGTCTTCCACTTGGAGAAGTTTCTCGCGTGAAGTGATTTTTTTTCCTTTCTTGGCGTCGCTTTCGCTGACGTGACAAGCAATGCGGACAAAGGGAAAAGTCGCGTCGCGCGAATAAATTCACCTAGTGGAAAAACGAGCTTAAATTCCATAAAAGTTTCCAAAACGCAAAACTTGTTGACTGTGCCATTACCTTGGCCTCTTAATGGATTCCAAATTGACTTTTGCAAGATTTTTCTGCCAAATCTTTTGCATCTGAGGTTAAAGAAGAATTACAGAAATTGAAAGCGCGTTCGCATAAACCTGTAATTACGTCACGACTACATGGAAGTGAGGCTGAGGAGCAATAAGACACTCGCGCCTCACTTGGACCTTCAGCCTCACTTTCATGTAATTGTGACGTAATTATCGGAAAGGTCTGTTGAAAGCGAACGTTAACAAAAGCGAACGCAAACACAAGACGCAAACAGTAAAAGCGAACGCATTTAACACAAACTAATACGAACGCAAATAATGCGAATGCTAACAACAGAGAACGCTAATAAAAGCGAACGCATTTAACACAAATTAATACGAACGCAAATAATGCGAATGCTAACAACAGAGAACGCTAATAAAAGCGAACGCATTTAACACAAATTAATACGAACGCAAATAATGCGAATGATAAGAACAGTTAATTTTATATATTTTACCAGATGTCATATTGAAATCTAGACTAACCTCAGTTTGTGAAGCACCAAGATCAGTGAGCAGGGTCGTGATCTGAGGATAATACTCGACTAGAAAATAAAATATAAATATATTGTGCAGCTTTTAAAACAAAAACACTATACACTCATTTTTTCTACTAGACCAACCTGCAGCAGCATTCTTCAGTAAGTTCATCAAGTGAAGCTAAACAAAACATAAGTTAGTTCATAAGTTCTACAGCAGAGAACACCAATAATTCCCAGTGTCTTTACTCAAAACGTTGAAATGAATCATGCTCGTTCATCGCTGCCTGCACTTGAAGCAACATGACAACCTTCAATAACACTGATTTTGTATTTGACAGTACATTTTTTTTTAAATCTTTAAAACAAACCTTTAGATTCTTTCTAACGCTGCTCACTTGTGATTTGGACAGGGAAGTTGGCAGGTTTGCTGAAACATTCAAATAAACCCACAATGAAACATTTTTAAGTGAATTTATGATGGAAACGACAGTTGTCTATATACAGCACTTGGTAGTGTAGTTGTTCCTGCCATTCATCTTACCATGCAGAGATTCAAATGCTTCAACAACCAAAGACATAAAATCTGGTCTCTGTTTAGCAATGGCTGCCAGTGTTCCCATACTGGCCATCAAGTTGACACTAAAACAAAAATGCACTCAGTTTAGGCCCCCTATTTGTTGCCGGAGTAAAGCAAGCCAAATAATTTTTAGCATAACTGTACTTAACACACTGTAGCTCAAATTTTCAGCAGCTATATGTATTAATTTACAAAGCATGTGACATTACCTTGAAATGTTTGGAGAAGCAACCAAACTAAGCAAAGCTTCAAGTGTTGTTCCTCCCTCCTCTCGAAGTTGGGTCATACTTAAAACTGGATGGTTGCGAGGAATCTGAAACATGACAAATTAGTTACAAGACTTTCATCTCATTGAAGAACAACATGGTTTATGTTTAACCCATTGAGCGCCAACACTCTCCCTGGGGAAATCACTCAATGGGTTATAATGATGTTTATTACCATGTCTAAAGAGATCGACTCCTCATCTTTTGTCTCCTATTTAGACAAAACAAAAATAATTGAACAATTAATATCAATTAATTATATTTACAGATAATATTTCCTACAATGAATCCTACAGTTGAGATTAATCTTTAATCTTACTTGTGGTTTATTGGACTGGGTAAGGATGACCATTTCCATGAATTTGATAGCGTGTGTGCGGATACTAAACAAAAACCATCCAGAATTGTTGATTGTCATGAACATTTTTTAACAGTTGAGTGTATAAATTAAAAATGATTTGGAAAGAATTTGAGCTCACCCATCATTATCTGATTGTATTTTACTCATAATTTGGTTCTTCAACATACACAAAACCTAAGAAAATATTAGAAATAAAAGTATAGAAGTGTACCATAGTATTTCTTGAAATAAAATTCCTATTGTCAAGTTACCTCCCAGGTGGCTTTCAAATCATCATTAACAACCTTTTGTTTGCTGATAAACTGTCAATTGAAAAAAAACAACAATTGTGGGTACATGTCAGTTTCATGGTGGTCAAGCTGGAGTTGTCAAAATAAGAAAATAATGTTGGGAGTCTTAAATTTGGAGGAAAAGAAATAAAAATGAAAGATATAGTTAATTTTCTTGTTCTTAGAAGTTCAACAACCAGTTTAGTTGAACACACCCTATAACTGTCAATGAAAGTGGAACTTGTCTAGATCAAATAGACAATGTTCCAAGACATGTACCATACCTGAAGCATGAGGCGATACAACTGAGTTAAACACAGCATCACTTTCTTCACCACCATCACATTGGCATCGGTGAGTAACAACACAATCGTGTGAATAACTTTGGTCAAGATTTCCACATCTTTTTTACTACACAAGAAACAAGCCAAAATATTTTACTTTATACACAATAGCAACATTAACCAAACAGCAACGTATGGTAGCATCCTCCACACAATAGCAATGTACATTGACCAGGAACCTCTTAATTCTCGTTTCTTACCATGCTTCTTCAATGAAGCCAAGCACAAACTTCCGAACCTCTGTGGTTTGATCATGTTGAAACACAAGGATTTCCTGGAAATATTGCAAACAAATGTTTAAGATAATTCTCAGAAATTGTAGTTTTTTGTGAATTGTAATTTACATACTTTTATGTGATGTACATTATTCAACACCTCAAACAAATATCATGCATGCTTACTTACATCAAGAAAATTGTCCAATAATGCAGGTTCCTTGTTCACAATCAATTCTTGTACCTAAAATATATATTCAACTGTCAACACTGTTACTGTCGTTCCAATTGAAGTGTTCCTCAAATATTGATTCAATACATTACCTCGGGCTGACCAATTCATTTGATAGAAAATTGATCAACTTCCTGTTACTTTTAGATGAGCCAATTAGATTTCGTTTCAGAACCGATTGACAAATAGGAAACGCACAGGAAGTAAAAAGAAATTTGAATTTGTATGAATTGGTCAGCCCGAGGTAATGTATTGAATCAATATTTGAGGAACACTTCAATTGGAACAACAGTAATATCCAATAGGCACGGATGGCTTACCAGTTGATCTTTTTTTTCCCAGTTTTATTTTAAAACCAGTTTTCTCCATTTAGCTTTTAGAAAAACTGGAAAACCGTCATTACCTAATTATGCACTGTCATCGCCCAGTAATTTGACCAGTTTGACCTTAATTTATGATCCAATCACGTAATGCACATTTTACAGTGTCAATTTCATGGCTGCTGTATATGCCAATGTTGGTTTGCAATCAAAAAAGGCTTCAAGGACCTCTGCTTCACATCTGAATGATTTTTCCAGCCTGAAAACAACTGAGCCTGAAAATATCGAGCCTGCAGACACTAAGCCCGAAAACAGCAAAATAATCTTAGAGTACTGACCTGTTTAAGGTAGTGTAGTTTGTTGTCTTTTTTGGCCAACTGTGCTTGATTTAGCAAGTCAATTACCTGGAGTAGAAAATTCTGATTTTATTCTAAGTACAAAATAATGGCAAATTCTCGATTACCCCTTTCCCATTGCAAAACAAGACTGTGAAATGGAATTTTTTTTACTTCAAGCCCTGAATTCCAGAAATATGTACCACAAAGGTACACACAGTCTAGGCTGTCACAAAATAAATCTTTAAATTTCTGTGTGTGCATTTTTAATTGAATTCACCATTCTGAAATGCGCTTATTTCCACGCAGCTACTACACCACAGAAATATTGATACTAAACAAGATTTTTGCAACATGCTACATACATCATGCACAAATAAATACAGTATATATTTTAGCTATAAACACGTGACTCATTCCCTATATATTTTCAGTATTTTACGCAAAATACTCCACTAAATACCCCAAAATAAAGTTCATAAATATCACGTACCCTTTCAGTTGTGCTTCTGCCTTGCTTGTGTGCTTCTCCAGGCTTGTTTTCGTCTCCTTCTTTCGATAAACGTGAAGTTTCAGCCTTTACATTGGCGGCCATCTTGAAATATTTCACTATACACAATATTTCACCTTACATGAAGTATACAACATATATGATTAAAAATAAAATAAAATAAAATGGACTGAAGTGAAAGGTTTATTTTTAAAAGAAATAAAGAAAATGGGTCTCTTGACAATTTTAAGAAAGATGAAACAAAAAGAGCGAGAAGTCCGTTTATTGATGCTGTATCCTTTTATATATAAATGATTATCATTCTGAAACGTTGTGGCTGACAGACAATCTTAGTATATTTATATTATATTCATGTTAAATTGACATAATTTTAATTCTTGATATTGAATTGATTCGGCCTCAAAATATTCGTATTACAGTAATTTAATACCATCAAGGCCCAACACTTTCCCTTGACAAGATTTGGTATTAAATTTGGCTGCATTCAAAGCACATTGCCAGTTTATAATGTTTAATATTTAACCCTTTAAGTGGCAATGCACCCCATTTTATTTTGCTCTATTGCTAGACAATTTTGCTTGTCAGGGGGAGAGTGCTGCAACTCAAAACATTTTATAAAAAACTTAACTAAGACCCAGAGGACTTGACAATGCAGGGAAAACAACAATATTGAAGAAGTTTAATGGTGAAGACATTGACGAGATCTCACCAACACTTGGGTTTAATATTAAAACACTAGAACATCGAGAGTAATACTCTTATATTTATTTATTGTTACTACTGCGGATTCAGGTAGACTGTGAAATGCGAATAGTTGTCGCGTTAGTTTTAACAGTTGTACGATGACGTTTCTAGGCAGATTTTCGACGTTTCTAAGGCGTGGCTTCAACGTTTATTTTTAAAATTTGAACGTTGTAATTACAAGGTAATTGCTAAATAGTAT